TACGAACTACCAACTACTAACTACTAACTAGTTACTAACTGCCTACTACCTACTGCCTACTGCCTACTGCCCACTACCTACTACCTACTACCTACTACCTATTACCTACTACCTACTACTACTACTACTACTACTACGACGACGACGACGACGGCGAACTACGAACTACGAACTACTAACTACGAACTGCGAAGTACGAAGTACTACCTACTAACTACTAGCTACTTCTGGCTACTTACTACTAACTACTAACTACTAACTACTAACTACTAACTGTTACTAACAACTACTAACTGTTACTAACAACAACAACAACTACTACTACAACTACTACAACTACTACAACTACAACTACAACTACAACTACAACTACAAATACAACTACAACTACTACTACTACTACTACTACTCCTCCCCATCCTCGGATGCCTTCCAGGTTCCACCAGCTTTGAACCACGTGGGAGCTGGGTTGAAAGGAAGGTTGCAACTGCAAGCTCGCAGCATAGCACCAGAGAGAGATGTTGCTTAGTCTTCGATCGCTGGCTTTCTGAATTGTACACTGATGGTGTCCATCTCAATCCGAGTTAGATGCAAAAACAAGCGTTCCTTGGGGATAGAGCACAATGAGAGCAGCCATGCGAGCGGTTGGCGCCTTTCACCGAAGCGTGGGGCGCTCCTTTGCGGCTGCCCGGCCTAAACCCTTGCGTTGCCCGGTGGCACACAAGCGGCGAAGAGCTTGAGCATGCTGGTCCTACTGGAAAGTGTGGATGTTGTGTATATGCTAGCCGCACGTAGTCGTCGTTATGATCGCCCAGTCGGAGTCGCAATTTGTCGGCACTGTCGTCCGGTCGTCGTAGTAGTAGTCGTCGTCGTCCTCGTAGTAGTAGTGAAGGTAAAAGTAGTAAAAGTAGTAAACGTAGTAAATGTAGTAAATGTAGTAGAAGTGGAAGTGGTAGTAGAAGTAGTAGTCGTCATCGTCGTCGGCAGTCGTTGCATTCCTGCCACGCACCGCACTGTGGAAAGCGCCGAAGCCATGTTCTAATTCTGACTCCACCCGAGAACCTTAAGCTAGATAAGCTGTTGCTGCGAGGCCTTGCCTTCGGCCTTACTTCAGTGGCCAGAAAGACAGCTCCAAAACGACATGTCTTGAATTATGTCCGTCCATGGTCTAAGGATGCTTGGAAAGCAGGACATCTGAAAGAAGAATCAGGTTTTGCAGCCGTTTAACCCGGGTTCAGTCTAGCTTGAAGGTTATGCGCTGCTGGATGTGGACGGAGTTTGCATACTCGGCGGCGCAGAAATTCCAGGCTCTGCGCAGGCATGTCTGCACTGGCTTGACAATGAGTGCGGGCTGTGGGTGACTAGCTGTGACGAGCTGTAGTCATGGAGGTCATGACTTGTTTGGCCAACTATTGGGCTTACACAAGAACTGATTTGTAGGCAGGCGCACATTGTTCCAGTACATGCGATTTGCTCGAGTGGTTCTGTGAATCTGTTTCATAACGTTTCATACGTACGACGTTGTGAGAGATTTTGAGACTGGGGGCAGTGGTAGCGCTGATCAGAACCGGAGCACGACAACTGCTGGCATAGTCTCGGCACGGTTTGTAAAGCACGTCAACGTGTGAGATGAAGATGGCAACCCTGGCTGATGGCAACACTCTCTCGTGGCACTGGGGGTGATCATGGCGCACAGATCAATTTCGTAGTGGCACATCGGAAAGTCTCAACAGTGGCTGCGCGCAGCATCGATAATTCAGCAGTGTGACCATCGACAGCTTCAGTTTAGACTTGGTATTCTGCGGGAGGGCCCTGCAGATACATGCTCGATGTCTTTGCAGAGCTTCCCCTCCAGTTCAAAGTCATCCCGATCACTATGCATCCATTGAGCTGAAGAGCAGTTTTGCATGTACTTCGATTCAGCTTGCTCTGAAGATTTGCCCAACCTTATTGCAAACCAAAGCATCATCCGAGACCCTGAAGCCTTGTGCACTAGGGCCTCTCGCGAAGACCACGAGCCCATCAAAGCTCGAGGTCAAAGCCATTCATGCCTTCCTTTAGTGTGTCTGCATTTCTTGGCCTGTTACCTGAAACTGCGCCGACTGCTGACTCTGCATCAGGCTCTTGCCAAGTTGCGCCGCTCGGCTGCAGAGCTGCCACAGACTGCGTGTGCCACAAAGGACGCTGGAATCTTGTGAGATCTGCAGCTGAAGGAAGTCCATAGCAATTGAACCAGGATGTCAGGATCGTCATGCCGTTCATGCAAGAGCAGTCGAGCAATATTCAAAGTTGTTGCCCAGTTAGAATCCGTGCACTGAGGCTCCTCTGTGCGAGCTTGCCGCTTCATCACAAACCAATCCCAGGCAGCGACAGTCGTTGGGGTTGAACCTTCCTTTCATGAGTGGGGATCGCACTTTGGCTTTCTAACGTTCAACGTAAGAGGTCAGGACGCGAGGCGAGTGGAGGAGATTCCCGGGACGGGGTTCCCGCTGCGGTGCAGTGCATAGTTTGCGCTCGTGTCCTACTGTTTACACTTGCACATCCGTGCGGCATCGCCCCCCGGGAAGCCAGTGGCCACGTTTCAGATCTTTGAATCCGCCAGCACTCGAGGGAAGCATGCTGGCTGTCCTCTCCAGCACTTCAGGGGGGACTTGTGGAAAGCCTTTTTGGCCGTGCTCGTGAACTCTCCAGTACATTGGCGTGGTGTGTCCTCTTGGTTTGGTCTGCTGGGGTCGCAGTCGTCCTGGTGGTTCTGTTGGGCGTGGTTGTCTTGGTCGTTGTCATCATGGTCGATGGGTGTTCTATCACTGTTTGGGGATCTACACCGGCATAGTAACTTCAAAGACCCAGGAACCTCATTCAACTGCTTGCATTGAAAGAAGCATAGAGTTTGATAAGCTGTTTGTACTAGCGGCTACTAAGCGCTTACAGTGCGCAGGCTTGCGGCTCTAGTCTTGCGATATCAAAATGTTTGGGTGGATGCCGAAAATCGACCTTCAGGTGCTTGCTTGGGGTTTTGGAGTTGGATTGAGAATTTCAATGTAACTGATTGGAAAGAACCCGGCTCAGGGGTGGTCCTTAAACCGCACACCAACCAAAAGCAGGCGGCAATCCCTGCCCTCCATTCCCTCAGGCCCAAACCCGGACCACTATGGACAACTGAGCTCGACAATCTGCAGGAGCCTTGCTCGGTGGTGCAGAGGAATCTGCGTGGTGCAGGCTTTCATGTTGGCTGCTCGGTGTCATTTCGTGAGACTCCACGAATTCAGAGCTGTGGGCTTTCGAGCGGCAGCGGCTTCGAGTTACGGCCTTTTTGCATTTGGGTACCTTATACTGGAGCCTGCTGCATGTGCATGCTTACATTGGAGTCCTGGATGGAGTCGCGTAGTCAGTTAGCCAAGGTGATGGCGAAATCTTCAGTGCGCTTCGTGCTGCACGGCATTTCGTGAAGCAGCGAAAGCTAAGGCACGCACATTAACACTTGGTGTTTGGGAGGTGCTGAAGGCACGAGTTGCGGAGGTCCGCTCCTTGCAAACGCAGAGGTAGTGAGAGATGAATGTTTAACATACAAAGGTCGTAATCCCTGTTCTAGACTAGCAGGCCTCCAAACAGTCTTTGGCTGTCTCTTCGTAATTCGTATGCAGACTCAGTCTAAGGAGCCGTGGTTTAGTCGGTTATCTGGGTGATCATGCTCGGACCGTTGTTTCACTGGGCTCCTTGTTATTGCTGACCTCCAACAGCCCATTCCGCAGCAGACTCTGCAAGAAACAACCCCTAAAGTCCTAAAGCCCTGTCCAGTGTCGGCCCTGTTTCCGGGCCACCTCCAAACTGAGCCCACCCCGCGGCTGTGTACTAGTAATTACTAGTAGCAGTAGCACTTAACACCGATTTGAACGTTAACCCCGCCTGCTTCCTGACAAGACTGCTGCCCATCGCTCTGTTACTTTCCCCACTTTGCATCCGGTCCCTATAGGGTCTCAACCTTTCAACCTCACAGATGCCGAATCCCTCTCCAATTCCCAAAGTCAAGTCCAATTCACAGCCGACTTTTAGCAATGTCTTTGCACGCATTCGCCACATTGTGCACTTATCAAACTGTATCGAAAGTACCACGACCTGTTCAAGTCGTAGTTCTTTTCTGGGCTCGTCATCGCTCCCCTCTCTCTTCTCTTTCACTCCCTGGCTCTTTGTCTCGCGCTCCCTGGCCATCTCTTTCTCAGTGCTGCAGGGGTCGCTTTGAAGATGTGGTGCTTGAATTTGTTCGCATCCTCTCTCCTTTTCAATTCTCTCTGCCTCTCGCCTACTCGTCGTGCTCTTGCTGCTTTGCTTTCAGTATTTTTGCGGTCTCGATGCCTTGTGAAGCGAGGGACTAGCTCTGGTCTCCCTTTCTCGCCCGCACTTTCGATTTCTGTGCTCCTGTGCTTTCCGCTCGTCCTCCCTTCACAGCCGGCTTTCCCTCCCGTACCGCAGCAAACCCGAACTCAGCCGCCAGACTTGCAGACAAACCACCGAATCGAGGTGAGGGTGGTTAGCAAAAACAAAGGGGACGAGTCGGCAAAGGAAGCGATTTGAGAAGCAATTCGCCGGTGTATCATGTTGCATGAGAGTGCAGTTGCTATAAGGTATGGCCGGATAAGAGCGTGATCTGCAAACGTACTCGTTGCTAGGCCACTGTGTTTGCTCAGCTCTGCGGCCATGGAGGAGACAGTGCACAAAAATCGGTTCAAATCAGCCCCCACACACAGTTACAGCCCAGTTTTTTGCGTTTCAGAAGTGTTTCAGGAGTTCCGTGACGTGGCACAAGAGGAGCCAAACGCTGTGGTTGTCGGAACTGTACCTTTGGCGATCGACAAGCGCGTGTGCAGTTGAAGATTGATGCAACCGAGCATGTGTTGCCGCCAAGGCACCGGAGCATATGCACTACGAGCGGCTAACCGAAGCAATGCGAGTGCTCCAAGCCAGCGAGGTCTGATGGGCGCACGGTGATTAAGAGGAGGAAGATAATGAGCAAGAGCATGTCGAGCATGATGATGGTGATGGTGCGGATGAGGAGGAGGAGGAGGAGGGCGATGGTGGCAACTTTGCTAAGTACGTCCGAAGCCTCCACTGAAGCCTTTTCTGTGAGCTTCCCCAACTACTCCCGTACGACTTTTCGCCCAATTCGATGCCCCGGCCGAGCCTGCACCAACCCCCCTGGTCCACGCATCTCGGGAAAAAGCTGGGAAGAACTTCCATGTCGCTGGGCGCGTCGACCGCGATTTAGTATCAAGTACTTTGGGTCGGCGTCCACGTTGTGGTGTCCCGGTCGTGTGTTCCGGACGGTCGTGTCCTGGTCGTGTCCCGGTCGGTGACAAGGTCTTAAGTTGTGGTTCAGGACTAAGATGCGCGATTTGCTGCCGGTATGTTTGGCTCCAAGTGCTGCCCTAGCGTTGTAGTTGCATTGCAGTTATTGTACGATGTCCAATTTGTTGCCGGTGTGGTTGGAGCCGCAGCGCTAAACTAAAACTGTGCGATTTGTTGGCCAAGATACAGGATCAGTTGCCGGTGCTTTGGGCTCCAAGCATCCTTTGGCCTAAGGCGTGTACGGGCCCTCGTCGTCGGAGACGTGCTGCGCCGCTTCGTCGGACGCACCCTTGCACAGCAGCACGCGTCCGAGCTCCAAGCCGCCTGCATGCCGTTTCGGTACGGCCTCTGCGCCCGAGCAGTCACAGAGGCGCTTGTCCGTCTCTTGCGTGTTGCCACTGACATGGACCCACGGGCGACGGGGCTGTCAATCGGCGCCGTGGGAGTCTTGGATCACGTCTCCCGTCAAGCGATGCTCGCTGGTCTGATGCACAGACCAAGGCTGCAGCCCTTGCTGCTCTTTGCGCGCCAGTTCTATGCCTCGAACAGCACATCCTTGTGGCAGGACGCCCCGGGCGATTCACACGAGATTCGAGGCGAGCAAGGCGACCCGGTCATGCCTGCATTTTACGCCATCGCCCAACACCCCGCCCTCGCTGCTGTCAACGAGCAGTTGCGTGAAGGCGAGGCGGTTTTTGCTTACCTTGACGACATTTACTACATTTACAGTGTCGCGGCCCCTGAGCGAATCCGTGAGCTGCAGGACGTTAGCACTCCGCGAGCACGCGCGCATGGAACTCAATCGCGGCAAAACCCGCATCTGGAATGCCGGGGGAGAGGAACCTGCCAACATCTCGGACCTGCGCGGCCAAAGCGACGAGCCATCTGGACCGGAGACTGGGCTCTCCCCCGCGATCGCCAAGGCCTCCTCGTCCGCGGCACACATTCGGTACGGACGAGTACGTGGCCTCCACCCTCGCTGCCAAGCGGGAGACACAGCAACGTCTCCTAACCCGCATCCCGGACGTGCCAGATCTGCAAGCTTGCTGGCTGCTGCTGCATTTCTGCGCCGCGCCGCGGGCCAACTACCTCCTGCGCAATGTGCCCCCCCCCGCGCTCTGCAGGCCGGTTCGCTGCGGATCACGATGCCGCCGTTGCGACATGCTTGGGCTATCTCTTGTACACCGCAGTAATCAAATGCCAGCCACTGCAATACAAGCTTCGCAGCTAACCCTCGGCTTTGGCGGACTGGGGTTGCGCTCAGCCTACACTGTCCCAACACCCTGCCAGCGATCCAACTTCCCCGCAGATCGCTGCTCACCTCCGCTGTGCGCTCGCAGCTCCTCATGCCAGTGGCTCTACAGCCGTCGTGGCTGCAGCATAAGCCGCGAGCCACCTCGCAGCGCAGGGTTGCCACGTCCCCGCTTGGGATGCCTCCAAGCCCCCCTGCCCAGCGCCCGAAGAAGCTGGAGCCCAGCCCAGCAACCACCTCCGCGGCTGGCAACGGCAGGCCGCCCGTGCCTGTGACCAGCGCGGGTTCGAGATGCATTTTGCCACCTTGCCCCCGCCTCTCGGGCGCTGCTTCTGTCCCAAGCTGGGCGCACGCCGCTTGCTGTTTCACGGTCTGCCCCACGCATGAAGCAGTCACCATCCCCACTGCAGAGCTTGCCCCTCGAGTCAATGCATTCAATGCATGCTCTGGGCTGCTCGGCCCGCTGGGTGACCATCGACTGCTCTGCCTGACAGCAAGTCCAACGCGCACACCGTGAGGATCTCAAAGAAATGATCGCCCTCATGGTCGCCGAAACTGAAACCTTGCATTGTGCAGCTTTCTTTTTCGCGCACACCATCTGCGACGAGTACATGTGCGGTCCCAGTGCACCTGCAATCTACGGCGACCGATAAGTCCCTCTGGGATGCGGCTGGGAGCCGGCGTCCAGACACCGTTCGTCCTGCAGGACCTCATGCATGCACAGCCGGTGCGCCAGCAGCGGAGGCGACTGTCTCGATCAATTTTTTTTTGTTACCTTGTCTCTCAGCCGTCGTCCTGTCGCAGTTTGCGTGTTAGGGCCGTCGGCAGGCGCGAGTGCCAACACCTCGTCCAGGGCTGGCACCCCACTCTGCGCCGGCCCGGGCACAGCACATGCTCGGCCCAGTGCCGTGTGGCCGATCGCCTGCTGCACTGCCGTGGAGCAGTGGAAACACGTTCCACAAGCGTCGCGCTCAGGCTGCGCGGGCTGGGCCGCGCACGGCGGGTGGGGCCCGGCAAGAGCGCAGCGCGACCAGGCGCCATGGCTGTGGCTTTCCAGCGTCCACCAATATCACACCCGAGCACGCAAAGGGACTGAGCCCCCCCCCGAGCTCGCTCGGGGGGGGTGGATAGCTTGCGACGCTCTGCCACTTGCAACACAGCCCTATCTCGAGAAGGGCCCCAGCATGTGGGGTACCATCCCGACGAGGTGGAGCTCGAGCAGTGAGCTGGCGCGGACCCTTTGCGCTGCCGCGGCGATGATGCCACTCCAGCGCACGAAGAGCCGAGCGGACGGCGACGCGTGCATGTGCGAAGAGCCGCAAGAAGGCTGTGGGTTCAGGGCCCCAGCGGCCTCTTGTCTCGACAGCGAAAACCACAAGGCGGCAGCGCGAGAGCTCGGGGTAGGTTTGCATCGTGTTGCGCGAGGCTAGGTTGAGAGTCAGGCCGCGATTTGCCGGAACAGTCACGGGTCTGGTGCAAGTGGCATCGACAGGAAAGATGGCCCCGTGCCAAAAATGGCAAGCCATTGCAAACAACCTCGATCCGCCGCGCATCGGCTACGGGGACTGGGAGATTCATGTCGGCGAGGCGCATGTTGCGGGCGACCCGTGTACCCTCTTGGCAGACCCGGGTGACTGCTCGCTCGAGCGGGAGTGCGCGGTGAACAGAAAGACTGCATAGAATTGAAGAGACGTGACGTGGCACGATGTAATTGCGTGACGAATTCAAATTCCAGTTGTGAAAATTCCAGCGGGGAATTACGCGGATAGTTTGTTGTGCAGGGGGCAGGGGGAGAACGACGGGCTTCAATTGAAAATCGTGGTTCGCGATGTTAAAAGTTTAACGTTGAGATCCGCAAAGTTGCAATAAGTTGCACATGAGCCGCTGTGCACTGCAGCAGCAGCAGCAGCAGCAGTCGTCGTCGTCGTCGTCGTCGTAGTGGTGGCAGTAGTAGCAGCCATCGTATCGTCGTGGTAGGGGTGGTGGTCGTACTACTAGTAGTAGTAATAGTTGTTATTGTTATTGTTGCAAGAGTACTATAAAAGAGGGGTCGTGGTAGTTGTTGTTGTTGTTGCTGTCGTAGTGATAGTACTAGTAAAAGCAACATTAAACCCTAAACCTTAGGTGCTCCACTAGATGCCACTGTGGCAAAGGTTTGTCAGCACTGTTTCAGCGCCCCGTTTGACCCCCTGCCCTCCAGAGTCAAGTCCTGCGTGCCATAAGGCGGCCTCTTGGAGGAGCAGGCAAAAGAAAGAAAGAACGCAACCTTACAATTATACAGAATCAGACACTGTGTCAAACTGCGGTTGAGCATGACGTCACGTCTACGTCAAATTCATTCTGA